GCCTCCGCCGCCTCCGCTACTGCCGCCGCCTCCGCCTCCGCCGCCGCCTCCACCTCCGCCACCTCCGCCACCTCCGCTCCCACCGCCACCGCCGCCGCCACCTCCACCTCCACTGCCGCCACCGACCCCTCCACCCCCACCTCCACTCCCACCGCCACCCCCACTCCCCCAACTGCCGCCACCTCCACCTCCACCGCCCCCGCTCGCTCCTCCAGCGCCCTTGCCCCCCTTGCCCTTGCCAGAGCGGCGTCTCCCGCTAGGGGCAGACGCCGCACCGACCGACTCAAGAACAAGGAGGTCGGCCGCAGCAGCAGAGGCAACAGAGGGCAGAAGGGGGGAGGGGGAACACCCCTCAAAGATGGGGGTGCGCGGGTCACCACGAGAGGCCCCTACAGCGACTATGCTCTTCTCGGCCGCTAGGAGGGACTTCTCGAGGAGGTCAACAGTGAGAGTGGTGGGACAGACAGAGAGAAAGTGGTCCCTGACTACGCGAAGGGAGTCAGGAAGGCGAGTGACTATGTAGTAAAGAGTGATGTACATGGGGGGGGGGTTCCTGGCGCAGAAGTCAGGAGGGAGTGCAGCGCGGTAGCGAGTGTCACTAGTGCGGAGGTGCGTAATGAGGTCAGTGACTGTGGGAAAGGCAGCAAGGTCAGGAAAGAGGTACGGTAGCATGAGACGGCTCAGTGCAGCAGTGGCAGGGGAGGAGTAGCGCGCAACTACAGCGTCGTACAAGGTCTGAGCACTCTTGTACTGACTAAAGTGCGCACGCTCGGAGGTAGGGAGGTGGCGACGCACAGCAAGACGTGCAGCAGCGTCGCGCGTGGCCCACTGGGAGCGAACAGTGGCGTCAGCATCAGCAGCAGGGGCAGTGGAGGTGCCAGAGGTGAGGTCAAAGAGAGAGAGGCCGTCTGCCCTATCGCACTGTAAGAACAGCTGCAGATCATCCACCCAGACCTCAAAGTCAATGGCCCTACCCTCAGCGTCAAAGGCGAGAACACTAGGGGTAGCCATGACCCTAGACGACTAGCAGCGCAAACAGTAGGGTGAGGACAGTGCAGTGAAAAGGCGCTGTGCTCACCAGACTGGGCAGGTCGGGCGGCCCTGAAGGAAGGCGGCGCGGCGGCTCGGCGGCTCAGCTGCTGGGCGGCCCGGCGGCTCGGCGGCCCCGCTGCTGGGCGGCTCGGCTGCTGGGCGGCTCGGCTGCTGGGCGGCGCGGCCGCTGGGCGGCTCTGCTGCTGGGCGGCTCGGCTGCTGGGCGGCTCGGCTGCTGGGCGGCTCGGCGGCTCGGCTGCTGGGCGGCTCGGCTGCTGGGCGGCTCGGCGGCTCGGCTGCTGGGCGGCTCGGCTGTGCTGCTGCAGGGCGGCACGGCTGGGCAGCAGGTGACGGGGCCGCAGGTAAGGGCGGCGGGGCCGCTGGTAAGGGCGGCGTGGCCGCGGGTAGGGTGGCGGGGCCGCAGATAGGGTGGCGGGGCCGCAGCAGAGGGCGGCGGGGCCGCAGGTAAGGTGGCGGGGCCGCAGGTAAGGTGGCGGGGCCGCAGCAGAGGGCGGCGGGGCCGCAGGTAAGGGCGGGGCCGCAGGTAAGGTGGCGGGGCCGCAGCAGAGGGCGGCGGGGCCGCAGGTAAGGGCGGGGCCGCAGGTAAGGTGGCGGGGCCGCAGGTAAGGTGGCGGGGCCGCTAGGTAGGGCGGCGGGGCCGCGCGATGGGGCGGCGGGGCCGCGAGGAAGGGCGGCGGTGCCGCTAGGTAGGGCGGCGGGGCCGTTAGGTAGGGCGGCGGGGCCGCGCGATGGGGCGGCGGGGCCGCGATGGGGCGGCGGGGCCGCTAGGTAGGGCGGCGGGGCCGCGCAATGGGGCGGCGAGGCCGCGAGGTAGGGCGACGGGGCCGCTAGGTAGGGCGGCGGGGCCGCTAGGAGAGAGGCGGCGGGGCCGCGAAGACGGGCGGCGGGGCCGCGGAGACAAGTGGCGGGGCCGCAGTGAAGGGCCGCTAGGGCGGCTCGACGAAGTGAGGGCCCGGAGCGCGACTCGGGCTGAGCGCGCTTCGGGCAGGAAAAAAAAAAAAAAAATCGATGTGGTGGGCCCTAAGCACAGTTTCCAAGGGGGAACCTGCTCGATACCATGAGAAGATTTGAACAAGAATGGGTGAACTATGAAATGAAGTGAGTACAAATATGAAACCCTAATTGGTTGTACCCCCTATGGGATACCCCACTATAGCCTACACAACAGCATAAGCTACAATGTTCTGACACAGCTGCCCGCATAAGTCAAATGCGAATTGGGTGAGTGCAGTGTGCCACGATGCCATACCATTGCCCACCATGCCACGTGTTTAGTCGCGCATCCACTCCAGCTCACGCCACCAGCTCCCTGTGTTTGACCACCTGAGTCCCACTTAACTCGTTTTGGTTTGTGGCGAGTATCGAGGCGAGCACAAAAATGCCAACTCGAGCATTTGTTAAGGTCAACCACACCTTTACTCACACCAAAGGTCGCGCAGTTCTTACTCAGAGCGAGTATTGTTCTACTCTACCCGAAGCGAGGAATACTCAGCTCATGGCAACCTGCCCACGCCTCACACTTGCCCCACCACGTATTTCCCCCATGCCAGGTCCGTCAGAAGGCGCCCAACATCCATTTCGCAGCCCCTCATTTTCTTGTGCATGTGAGGCGAGCTGTACGGTGCATGTGATTAAATTACTCGACTGTTGACCCCGCAACAAGTGCCACCCTCCCATCATACTCCCCCTTTCCTCAACTCCTCTTACCTCCCCTTGCTCATCCCGCCGCCACTCCCCTCCCTACCCCCCCAACAAACCGCGGTGCCGTAAAGACTGCCCTGCGGAGGGGGCTCTGAACTGCGGGTCAGTGGCTGAGTGCACGCTGAGAGCCGGTCAATCCCAGTGCGTTTGCCCCAACTCTCAAGCATACAGTGCCACTGACAAGCGGTGCCGCGGCGAGTGTTGCGTTGTTGGTATGGCAGAAACCAACTTGCTTTATCTGACTTGGCTGCGAACTGGCTGTAACTGGAAAGAAGAATGCACGAGTGTGCTCTGCCTGGGTTCGTAGGCTTCGCAGGAAGTATTTCACAACTCCTTCGGGGATCGTGGGTTGTAGCAGCAAGGCATGGGTGAGGCGCGGTGCATGATAGTCATGAAGCGCGCGCACAATATCCATCATCCCAACCAGCGCCCTGCTTGCGGCATTCGTGGACAGAGTTGCTTTTCCGGGGATAGATATTCCTCGTTCTTTCCAACAACCACTGCCCTTTTACCTCCCATCCACCTTTTGGATTCGATCCATGCATTTCGTGCCACATAAACATGCAAGCAGGACTGTGGGATGGCTGCAAAGTGCGGTCTCAAGGACAACACAGCGAAGTGTGTATGACTGAGGAATCTCGTCTTTGACTCCACCACCAGGACATGCAAAGGTGAGCGCTCATAAGCAGTGCAGTGGTGAGCGCTCATAAGCTGTGTATTGTTGAGGGGTGATAAGCAGTGTATTGTTGAGTGCTGATAACCAGTGTATTGTTGAGTGCTGATAAGTAGGGTTGAGCATGGGCCCGAGTTCGCCCAGGGTGTACCCGGGCCAGAGTGGCCCGACCCGGGCTGGGTTCGTTATAGTCACATATGTGTTGAAGCCTGTTTTTGGGCGGCAAACAAGGCTAGAACGTTAGAATATCAATGTGCAAAGTGCTTTTACACAATAAAACCCTGTAGCACACTATGCTGTTAAAAACAAAAGAAGTCAATTGTTTTTGTAAACATACTATCTTTCAAAAGTATCACACCCTGAAAATGTCTCCCGTACTGATGGAAAGCGAGCGAATCTAGAGAGCGTAACAAGAGATTAAGTCCGCTGACTTCGACGGAACATTGCGTGCAGCTCACGTAACCTTAAACTATGAGCAGGTACGCGTTGGAAAGGTCTTAATCTCTACTTTCCAGAATGGTAACGCACGCCTTCAACCAAGATCTAGGCCGATCGCTATCGCGATTTCATTGCGACGGTGTATCCTGGCCGAATTAATAGGCAGCCATGGATTAGATCAAGAAACTAGCTTTAGCAAGAGTTCAGATCTGCAAAGTGACGAGTTGTTCAAACCCTACCAACCCAACCCTCGCCCTACAACAATCGCCAAAAACCCAAAGTGCTAAACTAGCAACACCAAAGGTGTTGTAGTGAATAGCAAAGGTTTGTTGGTGCTTGTTGGGTGCGAGATCAATTCCAGCCCGCAACAAGTCTAACCACCACATTTTGCCCAAACCCTTAGCCCACAACCAGCTAGAGCAAAATACCACAACCACCTACACAATCAACACTCCCCCTTGCTCGTGCTGGAGGTGGCTGAACACCACTGGGCAAAATCCTTCACTTCACGTACCACTGTCATGGCTGCCAAAAACTAGAGTCACCCTACAAACCCTCCGGCCCTACACCCTCCACCCCAATATCTTCAACCGCTGGCTATGCGTCTGTCGCACGACCTGACGCCTCCTCCAGTGAAACTCCTGGATGACTCACGAAGAAGGAGCGCAAAGTAGTGGCAGCGCGAATCCTCTCAGCACTCAACCGATGGCGTTGCCATGTGATGATGTTCCTGCTCGCCTAAAACAAGCACTCGCTGGCAGCTGACGAAGTTGGGATGGCAAGGTAGCCACGTGTCATGGCCTTGAGAACGAGCATGTCTACCTTGGCACGCCAGTACTCAAGAGGGCTCAGAGTCTGGACTAACCCCTCCAACATGTACCTCTCGATCTCAACCCCCCCCCGGGCCTAGCCAGCCCCCCACCCTCCACGCTAGCCGCCACACGTGCAAGCAAGCTAGAGCGACTAGCGAGTGCACGCCCTCGCCCTCCTCCTCCTCTCCCTCTACAATCACTGTGGGCGACCTCATAACCACAGGAGGGGCTGGTGGTGCTACACTAGCTGCGGCTGCTGTCTGCGCCGCCTGGTACGACGTCCGGGGCGAGCGCACCAAGCGCAACACCTGCTCCTGTGGCACCTACGCCACTGTCGGCACACTGTCCATCGCGAAGTACACCAACTTCAGGCCAGGGTCGAGGAAGGTGGCGACCGTCAGCTCGTCAGTGCTGCTGTCGTAGTACTTCTGCAGGACGGGCAGGGCAGCCTGGATGAGATTATGAAAGATGTGTGAGGGGGGGTTTGAGGCATCGTTCAAAGTCTTATCCAGTGTCGAGGAGAAGGTTGTAGTATGGCACAATGGTCGTTACCGTCGGGTATGCACACCCTTCGACGTTTGTGGTGGTGGCATTGAAGGGCGCTAGGAACCCCTTCAATACCACCAGTGCCGCCCACTGATCATCAGACAAGCGCAAGGCAGCGTACTTCTCCTTCTCAACACGCGTCGTGCCCTGTTGCACGGGAGGGATTGCATGGAAACGAACATGGATGGATGGAGAAAGAGAGGGGGGGGGGGGATGAAGAATTGGGTGTAAATTACATGGTTTGAGAACGATGGACGGCAAGGCACCTGTGATCACGTCCGACACCCACCTGCTCCTGGGCGAAGTGGCCGACGAAGACGAATGGCACGTGCCACCATGAGGAAGGTGGACGCCCAGCGGACCCAGCAATCCCCCACCAACTTGAGCTCTCGCAGTGAAGGCTAGTCATCCTTCAACTCCTTCCTGAATCGAGCCATGCGCTTAGGCAAGAGGCCAACAAATGTGGCCATGTTGCGTAAGCGCTACAGGGGCACCTTCACCTGCTCTACCCCTAGCGCAATCTGGACAGCAAGGTTGAGGACATGCGCCATGCACCTGTTTGGAACGTAAGGGACAAACACTCAGCAAGGTTGAGGACATACACAGTCCCATGCGGCCATGCCCATGACAATGCTCATGCCCATACCAATGCCCATGCCATCTCCATGCCATGCCCATGCACATACCCATGCCTATACACATGCCCATGCCATGCGCATGCCATGCCCATACACATCCCCATGCCTATGCCAATGCCTATACACATGCCCATGCCCATACACTTGTTACCTGAACCACATGTCCTCAGCGATGAGTGGAAAGCGCTCTTCATCATTAGACATCTGCCTGATGGCTGCCTCGTTGTTCGAGGCGTTGTCGGTGGTGATACCACAACAACGCCCCACCAACCCCCACGCTCGAACCACCTCCTAAAACTGCTTCGCAATGTCCTCCCCCGTGTGGCCATCCGACATCTCCCCGAAGTCCAGGGTGGCCTGACGCAGCTGCTAGTCCCGCGAGATCCAGTGCGTGGTCACGACCATGTAACCACGTCGTGCCTCAGACGACCATATGTCAGTGGTGAAGCACACCCTGAACAATGGCAGGACCTCCTCCTCCTCCAGCTCCAGCTCAGCCCTGGCCAACGCCCGTGCCATGTCGGCATACCTCGTCACGTCACAGGCAACTGTCCAGCACGATGGAATGACATTTGGCTTACCACACAGAGGGTTGCACACGGTGAGCATCTCCTAGAGCTGTGAAACGTTAATAGAGTTTGAAGAGGGGTGCCACAAGAAGGTAGGGGGTGGTATTGGGTTGTGGTGAGGGTGTGGTACAATACAACTCACATCATGAGCTTGTTTAAGGCATGCATGCATTGTACACGACAACACGATGCGGATGTAGCACACAATTTCGACACAATCCTTACAGCGTAACAGTCGACGACGCGGAAGGAACTGCCGCTCATCACAACAAACTTGGCGATGGCAGCTCGCAGCTCCCCCTTCACCAACTTTGGCGCCAAAAACTGCTCCATTGCCCCCTGCCCCCCGCCGACAGCCCCTCCAACAAGCACTTCAGGGGGAACATTCGGGTACGCCTCCGCATATGGCCGCTTCTCGCTAGAGTGCGGCACCACGGGATAACCACCCTCAGGGAACGTTGCATCAGAGGGGTGGACTCCCCCCTCATACAACCGCTTCCATATGGCGTAGTGCGCGTTGTGTCACTTCTCGTAGTGCCGCCCCCCTGATAGTGTGCTGCTGTCCTTGAACGAGATCCATGTAGTGCAACATTTGCACTTGCGCGTCTTGCCCTCCGCCTCCTCGCCAAACATTTTCACCACTGTATACTTAACCCACGTCACTTTGCCGGCCTTTCCTTTCCGCTTCTTTTGAACCTGCCCCTCCCGCACCCCTCCCACCTCCTTGCCCGCCTTCCCTTTTCCCCCCATCCATTTACCCCCAATCTTACTCTTGCGCCCTTTCCCACTCGCACGACCACGCCTTCCGCGTGAAGCCGCCCTCGGAGACTCCTCCTCAAGATCCTCCATTTCCTCGTACTCATTCCCGCCATCCCCCTCATCCTCTTCCTCGTATAGGGACTTGCTTTTCTCTCAAGAGTCACTATCCAAAGAACTAGAGGATGAGGAATCTTCTTCTTCCACGCCGCCTCCCACACCTCCAACACCCCCCACTACTACATTCACTCCCACAACTCTCCTCTTACTTGGGAGTATTCATCCTACGATGGGAGCAAGATCGGCGCCGTCCCTAATTTGGCAAAAATCAGTGCACCATCGCGATTAGAAAGATTCGCGCCACGGTCCGGTCTTTGTTTTTAGGCGCCATAAGTTACTTGTAGCTGTGGGTTTCTTCAAAATAAAACTTGAGAACGCGTCGCGGAATTTCTGTTTTGTGTGGCAAAAAACGGAGAGCCTTACATCTAACCCTGATATCAGCCAAAACGCAATATCTCGTCAACCTTCCAGAAAACCTTAAGAGTAAAACGGTTAACTAACTCAAAAAACAAAGTTTCAAACTGTAACCCTAAAAACGAATCGTGTTGCGCTGCCTATTTTGTTTCCTAAATCATTACTAGGTATGGTCGCGCCAAATATCGCGAAAGCCTAAGAACCCCTAGGCGTCATAGTTTCTAACTAAGTAAAGAGTCTAGGATTAACTTAGTAATTTCAGAAAAGGAAACACGAAATCCAGAGCGCTAAGGTAGGGAAGAGGTTACGGGCTGGTTGTGCTCGAAATTGAGCTGCAAATATGACGCGCAGCTCAAACATGACCCCCGCGACGGGCCAAAATGGCCCGAACCGGGCCGCACATTGAGGCGGGCCGGCCCGGCCCGCCCCTAAATGGGCGGGCCAAAAGCGGGCCGGCTCCAGCCCGCCCTGGGTCGACGGCCCAAATTAGAGGTTCGACCTGGGACATTTTCGGGCCGGCCCGACCCGGGCCGAGCCCAGCCCGCCCCCGTGCTCATCCCTACTGATAAGCAGTGTATATTTTAGCACTGACAGGCAGCGGGTTGCCGGGCGCCGAAAGGGAGCGGGGCGGCGGCCTGGAGGCGGGTTGCGGGGCGGCGGCCGGGCGGCGGGTTGCGGGGCGGCGGCCGGGCGGCGGGTTGCCGGGCGGCGGCCGGGCGGCGGATTGCGGGGCGGCGGCGGGCCGGGCGGCGGATTTGCCGGGCGGCGGCGGGCCGGGCGGCGGATGGCCGGGCGGCGGCGGGCCGGGCGGCGGATGGCCGGGCGGCGGCGGGCCGGGCGGCGGATGGCCGGGCGGCGGCGGGCCGGGCGGCGGATGGCCGGGCGGCGGCGGGCCGGGCGGCGGATGGCCGGGCGGCGGCGGGCCGGGCGGCGGATGGCCGGGCGGCGGCGGGCCGGGCGGCGGCTGGCCGGGCGGCGGCGGGCCGGGCGGCGGATGGCCGGGCGGCGGCGGGCCGGGCGGCGGATGGCCGGGCGTCGGCGGGCCGGGCGGCGGATGGCCGGGCGGCGGCGGGCCGGGCGGCGGATGGCCGGGCGGCGGCGGGCCGGGCGGCGGATGGCCGGGCGGCGGCGGGCCGGGCGGCGGATGGCCGGGCGGCGGCGGGCCGGGCGGCGGCTGGCCGGGCGGCGGCGGGCCGGGCGGCGGATGGCCGGGCGGCGGCGGGCCGGGCGGCGGATGGCCGGGCGTCGGCGGGCCGGGCGGCGGATGGCCGGGCGGCGGCGGGCCGGGCGGCGGATGGCCGGGCGGCGGCGGGCCGGGCGGCGGATGGCCGGGCGGCGGCGGGCCGGGCGGCGGATGGCCGGGCGGCGGCGGGCCGGGCGGCGGCTGGCCGGGCGGCGGCGGGCCGGGCGGCGGCTGGCCGGGCGGCGGCGGGCCGGGCGGCGGCTGGCCGGGCGGCGGCGGGCCGGGCGGCGGCTGGCCGGGCGGCGGCGGGCCGGGCGGCGGCGGGCCGGGCGGCGGCTGGCCGGGCGGCGGCGGGCCGGGCGGCGGCTGGCCGGGCGGCGGCGGGCCGGGCGGCGGCGGGCCGGGCGGCGGCTGGCCGGGCGGCGGCGGGCCGGGCGGCGGCTGGCCGGGCGACGGCGGGCCGGGCGGCGGCGGGCCGGGCGGCGGCGGGCCGGGCGGCGGCGGGCCGGGCGGCGGCTGGCCGGGCGGCGGCGGGCCGGGCGGCGGCTGGCCGGGCGGCGGCGGGCCGGGCGGCGGCTGGCCGGGCGGCGGCGGGCCGGGCGGCGGCGGCCGGGCGGCGGCGGGCCGGGCGGCGGCGGGCCGGACGGCGGCTGGCCGGGCGGCGGCGGGCCGGGCGGCGGCTGGCCGGGCGGCGGCGGGCCGGGCGGCGGCTGGCCGGGCGGCGGCGGGCCGGGCGGCGGATGGCCGGGCGGCGGCGGGCCGGGCGGCGGATGGCCGGGCGGCGGCGGGCCGGGCGGCGGATGGCCGGGCGGCGGATGGCCGGGCGGCGGATGGCCGGGCCGCCGCCAGGCGATCCGGATTGCCGGGCCGCCGCCAGGCGATCCGGATTGCCGGGCCGCCGCGAGGCGGCAGATTCCCGGGGCGCCGCCAGGCGATCCGGATTGCCGGGCCGCCGCCAGGCGATCCGGATTGCCGGGCCGCCGCGAGGCGGCGGATTCCCGGGGCGCCGCGAGGCGGCGGATTCCCGGGCGCCGCCAGGCGGCGGATTGCCGGGCGCCGCCAGGCGGCGGATTGCCGGGCGCCGACAGGCAGGGGATTGCCGGACGCTGACACGCAATGGATTGCTGGGCGCTGATAATGAGTGCCCTCTATTGTCTCTTAAGACGATTGAGCTCAAGAATGGGCTCAATCGTCACTTCCGCTTTTTAGATCCAACCAGCTTGTCAAATTTTGACACGCTGGATTGTCCCGCGAACCCAAAGTGTTCGCGACAAACACTTTGGCTTCACGAACACCTAGGTGTTCGTGGAATTTTCCGCACACGAACACTCGAATGTGTTCGTCACGAACAATTTTGGGGAAAACAAAACCTTGTTCGGATCAACTCGAACTAAACAGAAGATCGAATATTTGCACATGTCTACTGCCAGGTGGACAATGGCACGGCGGTATGCAAGTGCGATGCCGGCTACACCATGCTGGAGAACGGCAAGTGCACTCGTGACTGCCTGGGGGTGAAACGACATGCCTTTCTTACCTTTTGTCTCCATTAATATGTCACTTCCTCTCTCACTGCATGGTCATCAGATGTGTGTGATGGAAATGGCCTTGCCGTGGTCTATACGTGACATGCTATCATCATCATTCATCGCTTTCCGTATCCTCCGATTATCTTTCATCGCTGTTTTTTTTTATGGTCAGTCAAATAATCTCCATCACTCCTTCCCATCTCCGTCACCCAATGATGTCTCTTTTTCTGTCCTCCTCCATGCCTCACTGTTACAGCCCGCCATGCTCTGAGGAGACCACTTGCCATGTGGAGAGTGGGATTGGCCAATGCAAGTGCAACGTCGGGTACACCTTGCTGAGCAATAGCCAGTGCAATGGTGAGTGCCGGGAAAGGTGTGAGAGTGATACCCTTGTGTTACACATGCAGTTGACTTGCTTTTCTTTCATCCTATCACTGTGGCTTGTACTTAAGTTGTCTTACTCATGACCTCTCACTTTCATCATCTCAGTTTTGTTGCATCTGCAACCCATTTCTACAGCTTCCTCAGCTTGATCATCACCCACAATGTTATCGGCCCTTTGCATCCATTCCGTGCCATCTTGCGCTTACGTTCCATTCATATCTCATGTTCGCTCCGTGTTTTGACATTCAACATGTTCTCATGTCTCAACATTCAGTCTCTCACTCTCCCTCATCTCTTCTGCCTGTTACTCGCCCCTCTGATCTCCTTGTTCCTTTTGCAGCCGTTTGCAAGCTTGAATGCACAACCAAAGCTAAATTTGTGGTGGTGGACGGCGACTCTGTGTGCCGCTGCAAGGAGGGTTACGTGCTGAAGAGGAAGAGGTGCATTCGCCGAGGAGGGCTGGCCAGACCACAGGGTGGCTGAATCGCCATATACGGTGAGCTAGTGGTCAATATTATTTTCCCTTTTTCTAGCCGACTTTCTCCCCAACCCTCTGCAGAAGTGTGTGACCCACCACAAGCCACACCCCTTGTCGTTTTGGTAACATGCATTCATACGGTAGTTATCTTACGATCTCCCCTCTCCATCCATCAACCTTCGCCATCAAAAGCAAATGACACAAGAACCTATATTTCTTTACTGCCTGATATTTCTTCCACCTCCACATGTCTATCACCCTCCCTTCACTCTTTCTTGTGGGGCGCAGTGCTGGCAGGAACTGATGGGTTATGCGAGTCAGGCTGCACCTCGCCCAGCCTTGATACCAGCGTGCTCAGCATCAACCCCCCTTGGGTGCTGCCTTGTAAAAATGACCAATTGTGCTGCAAGGGTTCACAACACCCTCCTGCACCACCGATTCCAACCGACTGGAACATCACGCTCACCACCCCCGCCCTCGCAATCACCAGGCCTGACTTTACCAAGCTCCTTTGCCGATGTGAAAACGGAGTAGGAAGCGGGCCATCAGGGATGACGTTTGAACACCTCCGCGATGCTGCAATCATCAACGCCTCAGTGAACAGCCACCTCCACGCATTAGTCAACACCATCCTGGGGGGATCTCTCCCCCCCGATGTGTGTTCGCTCCTCACGTCTTCGCGATTGATCGCCCTCACCAAGGCCTATAGCAATCGGAGAATGCCTCCTGCGCCTCGCCGCCAAATCCGCCTTAGCGACCTTAACAGAAGCAGCGCGCACCTTCTTCCTCCCTCTCCAGTTCTGTGTCGCGGTCCAGGGAGGTAGCGAGGCCATAATCCATACGGCGCGGGCGTTTATGAGCGCACACACAGACGCTCTGATTCTCGAGGCAGACCTGGCAAACGCTTTTAATAGCATCAGCAGGAGTGCGATAGTTGAGGCTCTCATAGGATCAACCCTAGAAAACGTCTTACCACGGGCTAGGGTCTCATACGGCGCACCATCCATGCTTTACCTTGATGCCAACTTCAACAGTCCACCAGTCACGAGCGAAACCGGTGTACGTCAAGGGGACCCCCTGGGGCCACTACTCTTCGCAGCAGGCATTCACCCAGCCCTGACGAACACGGCCGACGCCTTCCCATCAGTCCTATGCCTCGCCTATGCCGACGACGTCACCTTCCTAGGGAAGGCAGAGGACTGCACGGCGGCATTTAACCACTTCACCACCGCTTTGCTACAGGCCGGGCTGACACACAACCCGGCGAAATGCGCTGCATGGAGTGCTTTGGGAGCTGATGCTTGCGTAATCCCAGAGGGTGTACCGTTCTGCCCAGAGGGACTTCGGGTGCTGGGGAGCTACATAGGCCCAACGGCGGGAGCAGCGGCATTCCTGCGAAGCCAGCTCGAAGCACTGTCCTCACCCCTCCCCCTCATCGCCGAGATGGACCCTCAGCTGGCGTCGCTCTTGCTGACAAAGTGCATCTCCCGGCGCATCTCCTACCTGGTGCGCACTACACCCTTGTGCATGCTCCCAGAGGCTGAACGGTCCCAATGGGGACATGCGCTACTACTCACCCTCCTGGAGGCTTGCGGGGTCCGCCCACCGAGGGGAGAAGCGGAGGAAACCAGGGTATGGGGACAGGCTTCTCTCCCGCCGTCCCTGGGGGGTGTTGGCCTCTCAGATCCAGCGGTGGAAGGACGATACAGCTATCTAGCAAGCTTTGTCCAAGCCATGACGCTGCTAACAGATGTGCAGGGGGCGGCAGGATCCTCCTTAGCAACCGCCTTCTCGTGGTCAGCAGAGATTGACCCCGACCCTGACCCGCTTCAGGCTTGGCTGCATGGGTGCAAAGGCGCATTGTGTCAGGAGGCAAGGAACCTGCTGGATCGGAACTGGTGAACCCCACAGGTCGGCTGCAACATCGCCTAGGCCGCTTCACCCAAGCAAGCTGCTACGCAGAACAGGTTGCAGCTTCTAGAAGGATGGAGCTGAACCCTTTGATGGGCCACACGCAGCGGCTAATCTCTCTTTCTGGGTACGGGGCAGGTGACTGGTTGTTAGCCATCCCATACATGCCCAGCCTCCGCCTCAACCCCGAGCACTTTGCCTTCGCCCTACAGTTCCGGCTAGGAATGCCCCTACCCGTACCAGGCCACTGTGACTGCAACAACATGACTGAAATCCCGGATAAAAGACTCCCTAACCACCTCCTCCGCTGCGGCTTTGGACGTGGGCGCACAAACACCCATAACGAACTACGTGATGAGTGCGCCCGTATGGCACAGGACGCGGGGTACATGACTCACAAGGAGACAACTGCGTTCAGCCCGGTCGACAACAAGCGAGCGGACATCGCCATCCGGGACCGTACCACAGGCTCTGTGTGGCTGGGGGACATAACAATCACTGACCCCATTAGCAAGAGGGATGAGCAGGCCACGAAGGGAAGGGGATGGGCGGCCAGGGAAGCGGCGGACAAGAAAATAGACCTCTACCAAAACCGGTCGTCCTATGCAGGCTTCTTTCCCCTGGCAGTTGAGACTTATGGCTGCCCGTGTGAGGAGGTTCCGGCCTTCCTCAAGCAGCTATCAGAATCAGCGGCACGCAGACACTTCAACGCTCCCCCCAAATCCTACCAGGCGGCAAAGTTGCTGCACCAGTACCGCCAGAGCTGGGCGGTGTCACTACAGAAAGCCCAGGCCGTGAGCTACCTTGTCAAACTGAACCAGGCGGCACAGATAGAGAACCCCCCTGTGAGCGGGCTGGAGGGGGAGTTGTACCCGGGGGACTGCTTTGCAACACTAGAGCCGGGGAGTGAGTAGAAAGGAGGAGGGGGGGGGGGGGGGGGGGGGGGGGGGTGAGAGGGGGGGTAGGGGGGGTGGGGTAGTATTGTAGCACCAGGTTGTGCCTGTTTTGCTTGTGCATTTCCTTTTGCTTTTGAGAGAGAGAGAGACAGCAGGAGGACACGGCCAAAACTCGAGGCGGGCCAAAACCCGCGAAGACACGGCCAGGAGGACCGCCGACATCAAGCGGCGGAAGCGACTGCGGCACCTGCGAACGGGAACGTGAACGTGGGCGGCGAGGACGGGGAGAACGATATGGCCAATCAGCAGCACGGGGCGAACGGTACACATGATCCCGCCTCGCTGCCCGCCCGCCGCGCTGGCACGGCGGCCTCACGGCGGAACGCCCGCCCTCAGCCAGCACCGCTGCGTCTCGGAGCAACGCTGGGACGGAGCCAGCCGGGTCCCGTGCATGGCTGGCAGAACCAGATGCAGCATCAGCCGTCAGCGCCCGCTGCAGCTGACCCCACGCGGGCTCAGACATCCCCGCTGAACGGAGGTAGGGTGGCAGAAACAGCGACGGAAACGGCGGCGGCGACGGCGGACGAAGGAGAGCGGGAGGAGATCCCGCAGGAAACGCTCCGAGTGACCAGGAGCGCCACGATGCGTGGGGGGGTTAGGTGGGGACCACCAAGGCCGGGCCGCCAGACTGGCGTGAGAGCACCGTGGATCCCGGGAGGTGGAAGGAACCCCGCCACGCGGGGTCGGGGTATAGCGCGGGGAGGACGGGCACGGGGAGGACGGGTGGCGCGCGCAAAACGAGATCCGCCACGACCGGCACGGGTGGGGACTTGGAGGGAGAGGCACGAGCGCCCGGAGATCACTCCCGAAGCGGAGGGAGATGCAGGGCTGGGAGTTACTGGGACTACGAGTGATGGAGGGGGGAATTATACCCCCT